CTGATGCCATCTTCTGGTGTCTTTGGTTTCCTGCATTCATGCGCACGCACGTGCGCATGCGCACGCACACACACATACCCCATAAATAAATAAGTGATAAAATAAATCTTTAAATGCTGCAGTTACAGTTGAAGTTAGGGTGAACCCATATCAGTGTCCATAAAGGTGGAACTGCCTGCCTGTTTATTTATTCATTTTTTTAGTCACATCTCTCAGGGTGCAGATACTCATTCACTGCTTTTGCCTTATACCCCATGATACCAGTGTGAACCAGAAGTATCATACCCTGCAATGCTCCAAGTACTTTAAACCCACTGAACCTCATAGCACAGTACATAGTAGTGTCCCTCCCTCACCTCTGTGACTGTAAGGAGCTATGGCTCACTGTCACTGCTCAGAATCACATTATTCCATAAGTCACTAGCCATCTAAAAGATCACAATTCAAAGCATAGCATCTACTGAATGTATATCTCCTTCACATCATCATATATGTATGGTCAGAAAATTAAGTATGTCTAGTCGGCCAGGACCTCTGTGTTGAGAAACAACAAATAACCTAGGTATGCAGATGTTTTAAGTCCAGTTGTGATTTCCAAAGTACTATGATTTTTTTAATTGACCTGTTTTTGCGAGGAAGCAATGGAAATTAACTGTGTTCATTTATCAATAAAATGTTCTCCTTTCAACTCAATAAGCACACTTTTGGTTGACTTGCTTTGCAAAGTCTTCATTTCTCAAAAGCTGCACTTCCTGACCCATTTATTAAGTTCTTTATGTGGAGCCTATGCAAAATGACCTTCTCCTGTGTGAGAAACCGGAAGTCCCTATCAAAAGATGTGAACAGTTTAGCACTTCTCAAGTAGTTTGTAGTTCTTAATCTTCTCATTCTTAGCCATGAGTCGAGGAGATAACCCAGAAATCTGCCTTTGAAATTGTATTGAACTCATTGACTTCCATCAGAAATGTGTCAGTAGTTGCAAGCATTACAGTGTAGATTAAATCCTCAAAAAGTTTGAACTACGTACAAAAGTGGAGTGGTAGATATAAAGAACTTTTTGTTGTTTTGAGTGCCTAGGATCAAATTGCTTCTGTCTTTGATACTATATTTCATTTATTGTGGCAACTTAGGATTGCTTTGCAAACAAAACTTAGTTATCTGGTATTATGAATGACATAATGTGAGAGTACTGGTTGGGCATTGGTGGTGCACTGCTGTAGGACAGCATAAACAAAGCTGAGACACACAGGATCACCAGTTCAAGGACATTCTGGCCTGTATAACATAGCAGAATCCATCCTCCTCACAAAAGGCAACTGGAAAAAAAGTTGAAGACTACTCTGCCCACAAAAGGAAAACTAGACAAATAACAAGACATTAAAATGTGAGGACAAGAAACAGCTAGCTCAATGGTGTGGTACTTTCTTACCATACCCAAGGCCCTGGGTTGGTTCCCAGTACCATAAAACAAAAGTAAAGTTACTTTTAATGACAATATCCTAACATTTAATTAATGTTACAGTACCACAACGTTCCCTCTTTTCTGTGATAATACACTCATGTTCCCATATCAGAGAATCACATGAGTAACCAGTTTATAAGAGTACAGAACTGGATCATGAAAATTAGAAAGAGTTATTTTTACATTTAAAAGTGAACTGCGCAGCATGCCAAAGCATTGTACTTTGGGGTATGGTTTTGCCAATCCCCTTCATCAGGAATACTAATTTTTAAAACATATATTAACTTAGGATGCCACATGGAAGTTCTGCAATGCCTTGGAATTCCAAATGTCTATTGCTGGAAATGCTTGAACTATATTTTCTGGTCAATTAAAAGGCTTTCTTATGACCATTTAATGTTGAGAATCTGTATAGCCTTTCCTCCAAAGAGCCAAATGCTCATTTAGAAAGGAAATTTTTGTTGAACTTAAGACATATTTATTCAATGTGTCAAAGGATGAAATTGTAACAATGTAATTTAAAGATCATTAAGGCCAATTAATGTCTTTTTTCTTAAGATTCTGGAATCAGGCCACTGATCACTCTGGAACATAGAGTCAGTATTTTAATGGGCTCAGAAGACAGGTTGGATTTTATAAACAGAGAAGGGCTGTTAAAAAAGTGGAAGCAAAGAGCAATGACCAATCATTTGGAAATTACTCTTCCTATAAGATGAGAACAGAAGGAGAAACGGGCTGGCTAGCAGTTTCTTCCAGGTTAGTTTTCATAAGAAAAGCAAGGAGAACAGTTACCATATTGATTGACACTGGCTCCTTTAGTGAACTTGGATGGATCTCTTTCTCAGATGGTAAAAGGATATCCCATGGTGTTTTTTCTGAACCCTAGAATGGCCCACTTGGGACCTAGTGAAGGAACCTAGTCCACATTATGGCCTCCTGTAATTTCTATGTAACAATCCTGTTGGAAAGCATGTTACTATTTCACTAACTTCATTTGAACAGTACCTATTCTTTATTCACTCTTGGGTCCTTAGCACTCTTGGAATGCATTCAGTAAATATTTACCTAAAATACTTTCTGTTTTGTTAGAATAATAAAACCCTCATTAATACAGTCTCTGTCACGTTACCTGAAGTTATTTTTCATAGTAAGCTAAAAAGAAAGCTGCAATTAAAAAATTCAGGTTTTATTAAGAACTATTAGAAAAATTGGTAAGAGAATAATGGAGTAGTGAATCAGAAAGTCAGTAAAAAATACTACATTAAAAATACAGTCATGACAAAGGTAAAAATGGTAAGAAATGAAGATTCTTTTTGCACAATATGAAATATTAATAACTGATGGGAGAAGTCATTCTGTAAATATGTTTCTCTTATTGGTTAATGAATAAAGCACTGTTGGCCAATAGGAAAGCAAGATAGGCAGGACTAGGAGACTGGGAGGAGAGATGAAGGGGTAGGGAGGAGTTCCAAGATGGAAGACAGAGAGAGCATAATGCCAGCCCCTCTCTCTGGTAAGATGACCACGTGGAAATACTTAGATTAATAGAAATGGGTTAATATTTAAGACAGAACTAGCCGATAAGAAACTAGTAACTGGCCTACAGCCTTATATCTAATACAGAGTCTCAGTGTTATTTGGGGCTGGCACAGCGGTAGGACATGGCTGGCAGAAAAACCTACTCATAACAAATAACTACTTCAAATGGCCTAGTTCAATTCAAAAGTAGAGAAATGTGGAACCCCCATTGAGGAAAGTCCTGATTGGTCATCCATGTACAGGGGCATGCAATTTGGTTGAAGACGTGGCTTGGAGAGTGTTCCAAACGATAATAAGCAAACACAGTGGATCCTTCAATCATCCCAGCTCAGAGTTTCGCCCCCCCCCCCCTTTGAGTATCTGGATGGAAGGCAGAAGCTGAGGCCCAGGAACTCTTGTAGGTAGAGTTTTCCCATCCAGGTAGCCACTTCCAAATAACTACTCTGAAGTTTATATTAGTTGTAAAGGCTCAGCCAGTAATTTAGGCTTATTACTAAGTAGCTCTTACATTTTAAATTAACCCATATTCCTTACTAATGTTCTGCAACATGGTGTGTTTATCTCCTGCTCCCACTTCGTCTGGCTGGAGACTCTTCTGACCCTGCCCTTCCTCATCCCATCATTCTCAGGTTGCCTTTCCCGCCTAGCTGTATCCTCACCAGCTATTGGCCAGTGAGCTTGTTCATTAAGCCAATCATAGTGACATATAGTAACACAGAGTAAAGGAATATTGCACGGCAAGTTGTCATGATGAGCGGGAACAACAAAGACTTGTTGACAACATCAGTGCAAGCTGTGTTGATGTGGGAGAGTCAGAGGCTCCAAGGTCCCACAAGGGAAGGATGAGTGAAGAAGGGACAGGAGACTCTTTTGCATGGGGAAACTACATGGCAGAAAATGCCTAAATGGAAGTCACAGCCCTATGGATTCAGAAGCAGAGAGGGCCCGGAGCTACCAGGAGTCTGTTTCAAGTTGATTATTGAATTGCAGGGGTAAAAAGGAGATTTGGGGAAATGGGATTGGGGTGGGGCAATACTTGGAGTATTAAAAACGGAGCTCGGGGAACCTTCGGGTTAAAATGAAGGACAAAATGAGAAACAATAAACACAAAAGAGGATCACTGAATGCGGATTAGCCTTGGGCAGCATTTCCTCTCCCAGATAGCAATGGACCCTGAGCCCTCTCTGCTGTCAGTTCAACAAATTCAGGAAACAGATAGTTGCTAGGCAAAGAAACAGTTTGCTCTGTTCCTTCTAAGGGATTCTTGCTATAGGCAGTTACAAAGAATAAATAAATAAAAAAGAAAGAAAAAAGTGTCCCATCAAATTAGCCACTTGAATTGCCTTAAATATCAGGGCAGAACTGATTGAGTTCACAAACTAGTGAAGAAAATAAATGCTGTTTAAGAAGGAGGGGGTATGAGAGGGGACCAACTCTTTCCATAGTTCAAGACATTTAGGTTCTTAACACATGAAAATTGCCCTCTGAAGCAAAAGTCTTTGTAAGAAAATGAATAAACTACTTAATGCACTTGATGAACTTCCAGCTATAAGAATCTCCCAATTTGCTTCTGTACTTTAAAAAGGTGAATAATTAATAATAATAATAACATGCTTATTTTGGGGTGAGGAAAAGAAAGGAAATTTATAAAAAGTAAATACTATGGAGGAAAATTTTTTCCACTATGGGATATTAAACAAACTACTGCAGCCAATATTTTAGCAGCTTCTATAGTGATATTCAGCCTTGAGTTTAGTTTTTATTTTGTATTAATGTAGTAGTGGTGTGTGTATGGGGGTGGGGAGTTCATGTAATGTGCTTTGGATGAATGTCCAAAACAGAAAGCATGTCACACCTGTTGTCATTATAGACTGTGCTATTAGACATCCAGAGATATCAATTTGGTATTGAAAATGAGATCCTGCTGAGAAGGCTAGTAAGGTGTCAGTCTTTGGATGATGATTACACTGACAGTTATGCCCACCTTTTATCTTTGCAGAAAGGACAGTGAGACTTGAACTCTAAGCGTGGATGTTCTAGCAACCAGACCGATGTGCCCAGAGAAGGAATGAAGTATGGATGTGAAAGAACGTAGGCCTTACTGCTCCTTGACCAAGAGCAGACGAGAGAAAGAACGGCGGTACACAAACTCGTCTGCGGACAATGAGGAGTGTAGGGTCCCCACTCAGAAGTCCTACAGCTCCAGCGAAACCCTGAAAGCTTTTGATCATGATTCTTCACGGCTGCTTTATGGAAACAGAGTAAAGGATCTGGTCCACAGAGAAGCAGACGAGTATACTAGACAAGGTAGGTACACACTCCAGCAGAACACAAGGCGTGCATGTGTTCCCAACTTAGAAGTGCCCCTGGCTTTCAAGCCCTAGAAGATAAAATGATGGTTTTCCTTGTCCTGGCTGCTCGTCACACAGTGTGCCAGATGAGAGATAGAAAGCCACCTGTGACACATGGCCTCACCAACCTGCATACTGACACAGGTAGTGAATGATTTCTCAGTCCCACAGATAAGCATCTGTGTGTGAAGTTGAGAGTTTTCTATATGATCAAAGTATGTGTGCAGAAGCCTGAAATTCAAGGTTTTCTGAGTTGAATGAAGACACAAACACTGCTATTAGAGATAGAGATGGTTCAGGAAAAGAGGTGTTGGGAGAGAAAATCTCACAAGAACCTGTAAGAATAGAGTTAGGGTTCTACATAATCTCATGTTCCATCCAGCCCAGCCATCCACTAGTGTCTATATTATACAAGAGTGAGCCACCATGCAACCTCACACCTTAACACAGCCAACATTTCCCCCAGTCCCCAGTGAGCCTATGGCTTGCTCATTTGCTCATATTCCCTGACCATGTTACACTCTTTTTTTTTTTTCTTCTTCTTCTTCTTCTATCTTCCTGTCTTGCCAAATAACATAGTGACTTCTGTAACTTTAGTTTGCCATCATACAATGACCGATTCTCATACTTTTAAACAAGTTGCTTGTTTTAAGTAGGGCACAGAATTAACTTTGTCTTGGACAGTATTGAGATGTGGACAAGGTTCTGCAGTGAAAATAAAACCCTGTTTTGTGTGCATTTCAAATTCCACAGAACCAGTGCCCCTTGGCTAATGTAATGAGGAAACAGAGAAAAGGCTACATGCATATGTTTTTAGTCACCTCACTGACAAAACGTGACCAAGAACTTGATATTAGGCTGAAGTAAATCTAGGAAACTTTCAAAAGTGGTGACACAGAAAACCTGTCATTCATGAGTTTAATGCTTGCCCATGATTCCTTTCTCCTCTGCATTACCAGAGATGCCACCCTAAATAATGTGAAAGGGTATCCATTTGTCCAGACCAGTTTGTGTTCTAAAATAAATTCATTTGATTTCCTGAAGAGAAATTTCCCCTCAAAAGCATGTTGTACTAAATACTGAAATGGCATGAAAAGGTGGGCAAGATAGATTCCAACTTTTAATTCAAGTTTAAAAGAGGTACAGAACAGTTTTGGCTGTGTACCTCTGGTAAGTCAGGGAGCACTCACGTGGCCCTTTGACCATATGCTACACTGCTGTACCCATTTTTCCTCATATAGCCTACACAGCTGAAAGACATTATCAACATACATCTTTCTCCGTTTTTCAAAAAGCAGGCAATGCATGTCATCTGAACCGTACATGATGCCCTTTTATAACAGAAGTAACTGGTTTGTGCCATGTTGTGGGAAAAGTAGTAGGAAGGCCCTCCATTGTCAGGGAGAAGACTCAGTTGCACATGTGGCAAAAAGCATCAGGGAGGCTCATCCCCACCCCGAGCAAGCATTTCATTTTGGCAGAACGGAGGATGCTTAAACAGGTTAAAAATAGCTCACTTAGATTTTCACCTCCTAGGCAGTGCTAATCCAATGCAGGCTGTTGTTAACGACATTGGCGACACCATCTGTGGAAACTGTGGAACCCGAGTTCTTAGGGGACCAAAGAGTACTATTACTCAGCTCCTTGCAAGTCAGGGACTAGTGAAGGAGAAAGTGAGCCAGGCTGGCAGATGGTGGCCTCTCATCTGGATCCTAGTGGAGGAAGAGTTGGAGGAGGGGCGCTTATGAGCAGAAGGGAAAGGAAACACCAGAGTACAGTGTATAGATGTACTAGGACACAGTCCTCAGATCCCTGAATTATAATGTGCCAAAACTATCAATGCAATGTACGGCCAAGTCTTGCCAAGGTGTACCTGTGCAGACTGTGCCCTGATATACTGAGTGGGCTGTTTGTCCTCACCTGATGGAGGCCCCTGCAGAAAACTCATGCACAGACTAAGACAGTAAGACTGGGATGTCCATGCCATGGCTAGCTCTCCCAGGGTTGCCACTTGCACGGAGGACCATTGGACCTCCTGCCTCCAGTGCCAAAGCTCTGTGACAGTGCCAAAAAAGAAAGCAAGTATAAAAACTGCCACTTGCTTTATTATGGTACATTTTCTTCCCCACTAACATGTAATGGTTTGGATAGGGAGAAGTAAGCACATCCAAGCCACATACAGGAAAGCCTTTTGGGCTCTCTCTCTCTCTCTCTCTCTCTCTCTCTCTCTCTCTCTCTCTCTCTCTCTCTCCTCTCTCTCTCTCTCTCTGCTGTGTTCCTTTGACAGCCAGAGGCTGACATCCAGTCAAGTGCTTCTTCCATGGGTGATAGAATCTGAACCCATGTCCTAATGCTTGCAGAGCAAGTGAGCCATGTCCCCAGCCCAGACTTCCCCTATGTCCTTCTTGTGGCAGGGTTGGTAGGTGTAGCAGAGAAGTGAATAAGCAAGCTTGCGATCAAATTATGTTTTTCTTGAGCAAGCATAATGGAAAATTCTCCCAGGCTTCCTTTTGCTTTGAACCTGACAAATGTCAATTTCTCCTTGCTGGCTATTATGCTGTGGGATTAATTATTTAATTGACAAAATGTGCTTCCTGCCACAGCTCCTGACATCATACACACAATAAAAATGAAAGATTAACAATATTAACAGTAGCCAGAGATCTTTGAAACACTTCCAAAGAATCATGCTAATTTGGCTCATCTATAGACTTTTAAAACAGGTTGTTCCCTGGATCCTGCATTTCTCTCTGTTCCTTAAATGACATGGGAAAATGCCATTTCACCTGCTGGAAGGGATAAATAGAGACCCCGTTGATGCAATTACATGGGGACTGCAAATGGAGAAATACAAGGTTTTCATTTATCAACAGACTTTTCGGGTCTGTCATCACATTTGATTTCAATCAGATTTTTATGGTTTCGCTGATTGGCAGGTGACTCCTGCTAATTACATGTTATATTTAGGTCCTGTTAAGCTGGGATGAATTCAGTCTCACAGTTATGGGCAAGTGGACTGGATCCCACACAGACACCGCTCTCTCTCTCTCTCTCTCTCTCTCTCTCTCTCTCTCTCTCTCTCTCTCTCTCTCCCTCTCCCTCTCTCCCTCTTTCTCTCTCTCCTGGTGCTTTGTTGACTGATGGGAAGAACTGCTCTTTCTGTAGCCCTGCTGCTGTCTGTACATGTGAGGGTTTGGTGGTGACAATGACACATTCTGCATTCTTAGATACTATTTCCTTTGATTGCTCTTTGAAGAGAGTGTATTTCATCAGGTCAGAGACACATTTCTTACAAACAGCTGCCTGACATTAGCCCACAGTTTGGGAGAAGGGATAAAATAAGATTTTCCCCCATGTTAGAGCTCTCTGTGCTATGCATATGTTCCTCTGGTGTCCCTGACCAAACAAGAATAGATATCAACCCCAACATGGAATATTGCTTCTAGGGTTGAAATTTGAAAGACACTTTCTCTATGAATAAGAAAACTTTAGTTCCTTGATATTGCGGTTAAATAAGGATCAGGATAAACAAATAGGACGAAAAGATCTTTATTCAGGGAGAAATAACTTACAACCTAGACAGATGAACACCAGGAAATTCCACCAGATGCTCTCCTGTCCAAGTCCTGCCAGCCAGATTGCTTTTCCTGGCTCTCCCTCAGACCTCCTTCCACAGGTCGCATCCGCATGGCTCCACCCCCAATGGGCGTGGTCAGTGCCACAGAATGACTATCTCACTACAATTCCCCTTTTAGTCTAAAGAAAAGATTTAGGCTTAATACAAAACTATATACAAAACAGTGAATAACAAGTGTGCTCTAAGAAAAGGAAAATGGAGAACAAAATGACCTACATATCTAGTCCTAGGGTGAAGGCATAATGGAGTTTACAATAGAGTTGTCCTAAGCTGGAAAACGTAAGTCTAGTACATAAGATATCTAACTAGGAAGAGAGAATAATAGTTGTGATAGTTTAATCTTCAACCTCATCAAGACCTGAGAAGGAAAATAATGATACTAGGGTAGACAGGAAGTGCGGATGGGCAATTTCCAAAAGGTGCAGCAAGGACAGAAACAGCAAGTTACCTGGACAGTCACCCAAGGTCTCACAGCAACGTTGGTACACCCAGTTTTGGCTAAGGCCAAGAGAACTTGACAGACCACAACAACAGCAGGGAGGTAGAATGGCTGTCTTACCCTGACTCGGCAAGGTCCTGCAGTCTTCTATATTTGTCTCCTGCAAGCACATAGGACTGCATGTCCAAATCAGTGGTCAAGGTGGGGGCAGTTCTTTGCCCAACAGGCCATTAGCTGAGGTGAGAATGAACTCCAGCAGGAACAACAACAGTGCCCAACATATTTTCGGGAAAGTGCACGGTGCTGTCAGGAGCAACAGTGTTTCATGTCAACGGAGTACTAATATTAAAACATTTAAATGCCATGTTCTGCATGTCTATGAAGTGATTGAAGATTAAGCATCTATATCTGACTAATCTCATAGGTACAGGAAACATGAGTGAAGATAATCTGTAATACTCAGGAACTTAGCTAAAAAACTGATTAAAACTTCCCTGAGTAAAGCAGGAACAAATACTTAAACAATATAAGTATATACATATACATACATATAAATCCCTAAAATAGAGGTAGAGTAGAAATGTAAAGAAAAGAGGTAGAACTATAAAGGGCAGCATGATAAATATCCCAAATTGTATCAATATACATAATGTCTTGAATACAAGAAAAGTATACATACATAGAATATGGTAAAAATAATGTGCATAAAACATCATAAGTGGAAAGATTTCACACAATATAAGAAAATATAAACTTAGTTTTACATAGCTTACCACATATAAGAATATATAACAATGTAAGCTGTAAAATACCATCTCATACTCAAATTCACAAGAAAATAGGCTAATCTACCTATATCCCATCTAAACCATACTTTCCC